AAAATTAATTAAAGACGAATGAAAAATAGTTACTAATCTCAAAAGTACTCGTATCACAAAAAAAAAAAACAAAAAATTTTTTCTCTATTGATATATAATACCAAAACCGAAAAAAACATGAAAAATATAAATGTTTATTTTTTAGTCAAATGTATGTGAATAAAAAAAATTCGAAACGATTTTTCGTCACCAGAAAATCAGAACAACTATAAATTATATTTACCAAAAAAAAGAACAAATGATTGAGAAACCAAGAACCATCCTAAAAAACTAAAGAAATATCTTTAATTATGTGAAGGCGATTTGAAACGAAATTCCAAACAAATGAATAAAAAAAATATGTATGTATGTATGTAAATGTTGCTTAGTCTGCAGCGCTGCTGTTGTGTGTGTGTATTCTTTTGTAATATAAATGTTGAAACTGTAACAAAGGTAATGAGAATTATTGTCATGTATATTAATGATGATGACGATAGTGTATGCGAGAGAGAGAAGCTGAGAACGAATGCTGTTGAAGTTGATGAAGACGAAGAACAACGATAAAAAACCCCGTTTAAATGTTCGTTTTAATGGAAAAATTTATGTTGAAGATGCTGAGACGATGACGAAAATAAAATGTTTGTTAAAGAAAAAAAAAAAATAAAAATAATTGTTTTTTTATTATTAACAAGTAAAAAAGTATCGGTCGGTTTTGCCGACAGATGTATACCATCAGCCAATGTTCGATTTTTTAAAAATATTTTGACTTCTGTTATGATTATTTAAATGTTTAACCCTTTATGCAGTTGGTTCCGAAGCAATTGCCTATTTCGTATCGGACCAAAATAAATATGATATAAATATTGCCACGTGCAAGGTTTGGGTTGTGTTGTGTTAATGGAAATTTGGGCATGTACCAAGTCTTGAATAGAGTCGGATGTCAATTTTGCTTTTTATGAGCTTCATGGATATTCAAAATTTTGAGCCTTTGTGGGGAAGATACCAGAAGGAGTAAACCGATATATTCCATCTTCACAACGGATCTTTTGTTAGTGGAAATTATGGGATGTGTGAAATATAAAGAGAACCTGATGCTTATTTCGGATTTTATAAACGTTTTGGTTATTCAAAACTTTGACCCTTTGTGGGGAAGGTAGCAGGAGGAATGGTCCGATCTCTACCGGTTTTTAACAGGTCCTATGTTGATAGAAATATTCAGATGTGCAAGTCTAAATGGAATCGGATGTTAATTTCGCTTTTTATGAGCTTCATGGATATCCAAAATTTTGACCTTTTGAAAGAAGGTACCATAAGGAATGGGCCGATTTATTCCATCTTAACACAATACCTTGGGTTAATATAAATATTGGAATGTGTGAAATTTGAAGACAATCGGACTCTTACATCAGATTTTATGAGAATTGTAATTATTCAAAATTTTTACAATTTGTGGGGGAGGTACTTGATGGAGTGGATCGATATTGCCCATATCCGAACTCGATCTAAGTTTGACAAAAATATTACGATGTACCAAGTTTGGACCAAATCGGATACTCCCTTCGAGAGTTATCGTGCGCGCCAGCCAGCCAGACAGACGGACGGCCGGACGGACCGACTGACGTACAGACATCGCTAGATCGACTCCAAATGTTCTGAAACGGATTTGGTCCAAAGAGACCTAGGGTCTAAAACCGTTATTTCGACTAGGCACGTTTTGACCGTATCAAATGATATATACCATCTGTAGCCATATGGCTGAGGGTATAAAAAGGATATACAGGGTGATATAAAAAATCTGCAACAAAGTCAAACGCCATAATTTTTACATTTTTTTTAAATTTTTTGAATTTTAATATTTGGCATGAATTAGGGCCCTCAAACGGCCAATGAAATCGTCACACGCTGCCCGAATGTTGCTCTGTTTTGCGATATTTTAGCCCATTCCCGGCGAAGCGCTTGCTTGAGGTGATCGAAATTTTGGTATTTGTCAGTGCCAACCTTGCTTCCCAGGATACTTCAGACACAATAGTCCAACGGATTGGTATCCGGAGATTTTAGTGGCCATTGTGCGCTGGAAATGAAGCGAAGAACCTCATTTTGTAACTATTCTTGGGTGGCGCGTGCTGAGTGCGATGGTGCTGAGTCCTGTTGGAATGTCCAAGGTCTGCGGCCAAAATGTTTGCGTGTCCAAGGCTTTAATCCACCCTCCAGAATATTTTCGCGATAATATTCGGCATTTATTCTGATGACACGGTCGATTAATACGAGCGGAGAGCGACCATCGGCTGTTATGGCGGCCAACACCATCACCATGACCGGCGCTTGAGTTCTGGTGGCCAACCGAAGGTGTACATTTTCAGCCGACCTCTTTGGCAAGTAAACACGATCATTTGTTTACAAACTGCTGAGCAACGAATATTTTCTCATCGGAGAAAATCAAATTCGGCATTTCACTCTTGAGTCTTTTGAGTCTATTTTCTTTCTGTTGCGGTATAAGTTCTTACATTTTTATACCCTTTACCAAACTATGGAGGGTATATTAACTTTGTCATTCCGTTTGTAACTCCTCGAAATACTCATGTCCGACCCAACAAAGTATATATATTCTTGATCAGCGTAAAATTCTATTCTATTTATGGATGTCCGTTTGTCTGTCCGTCCGTCTGTCTGTCTGTTGTAATCACGCTATCTTTCGAACGAATTGAGATAGAAGGCTTAAATTTTTAGCGACATTATTTTCCGGAATTGTTTCAAATTTGTTATGTGAAGTTCGTTATGGATACTACAGCCTGAGACAGAAAATTGTCTGTGCAGGTCCACGTTTTCATATAGTCCCCATATAACGATACCTCCCGATATTCGGTATTTTGAAGATTTTAGCGACATTATTCACCGGAATTATTTCAAATTTGGTATTTGAAGTTCGAAATAAATACTACAGTCTAAGACAGAAAATTATCTCGTCTTCGTATAGCCCCAATTTAACGATACCTCCCGATATTCGGTATTTTGATGATTTTAGCGACATTAGTCACCGGAATTGTTTCAAATTTGTTATTTGATGTTCGAAATGGATACTACAGCCTGAGACAGAAAATTGCCTGTGCAAGTTCACGTCTTCGTATAGCCCCCATATATAAGTATCTCCCGATATTCGGTATTTTGATGATTTTAGCAACATTATTCACCGGAATAGTTTCAAATTTAGTATTTGAAGTTCGTAATGGATACTACAGCCAATTACAAAAAATTGTCTGTGCAGGTCCTCGTCTTCGTATAGTCTCCATATAATGATACCTCCCGAAATTCGGTATTTTTATGATTTTAGCGACATTATTAACAATAATTATTTTAAATTTGGTATTTGAAGTTCGAAATAAATACTACAGCCTAAGACAGAAAATTATCTCTGCAGGTCCACGTCTTCGTATAGCCTCCATATAACGATACCTCCCGATATTCGGTATTTTGATGATTTTAGCGACATTATTCACCGGAATTGTTTCAAATTACGTATTTGAAGTTCGTAATGGGTGCTACAGTCTGTGACTGAAAATTGTCTATGCAGGTCGAGGTCTTCGTATAGGCTCCATACATCAGTACCTCCCTATATTCGGTATTTTGACGAGTTTAGTTACAGTCTATGCAGGTCCAGGTCTTCGCACAGCTCCGAAATAACGGTACAACCCCGATATAACGGTACCACCCCATATACGTTATACCATGTAGGTCCATGGTTCGATATTTTTAAAATTTTCACAGATTTTTTTAAGGAAATTTTCCAAATTCGTTCCAAATGGCGGAGGGTATTAAACTGCTGCTTTTTAACTTGTTGGAATTTCAATGGCTCTACCCCGAGTTCGTTTTCCAATGTTTGCCGGATGGAATATTGCGATATGTTCAACTCACGAGCCATTTTTTCGGCCACTGCGACGCGGGTTTAGATCAAGTCGCTTCTTTACTTTTCGAACCATTTCTGCTGATGTTGCTGTTTTCTTCCACTTCCTTGACGTCGGGCTATGCTACCAGTATCACGGTAACGAGCGATGGTACGAGACACAAAAGATCTATTCACATTTAAATGCTGGACTGCTCTAACGATAGCCACTTGTGGTTTTCCAGCCAAATATAAAGAAATCACACTATCAAGCTTGAATTCCGAACACGAATAACTTTTTTTCTGGAAAATTCTCACCAAAATGCTTTTGTACGCTTGTAAACAATATAATGACGTGCCACTGGAATAATTTTAGCAGTTGTCGGACGAGTGGCTTAGATATGACAGCAGTCTGAAGTTGGTTGCAGATTTTTCATCTCACCCTGTGGGGCACTTAGGGTTTACTGGAGCCATTTTAAAATGGTCATAACTCCTTAAATATTGACATTTCTGGGTTTTTAGCTAAGTTTTGTGATTAGTTTTTAAAGAGGAAAAATCCCTATTTTTAAATGGGCATAACTTCTTAAATATTGACATTTCTGGGTTTTTAGCTAAGTTTTGTGATTGGCTTTCAAAGGAGGAAAAAGAGGATCTTTTAAAATGGCCATAACTCCTTAAATTTTGAAATTTCGGTGTTTTTATCTATGTTTTGTGATTAGTTTTCAAAAGAGGAACAATATCATATTTTAAAACGGCCATAACTCCTTAAATATTGACATTTCGGGGTTTTTAGCTAAGTTTTGTGATTGGTTTTCAAAAGAGGAAAAATAGGATATTTTGAAATGACCATAACTCCTTAAATATTGACATTTTGGGGTTTTTAGCTATCGAAAATCTCCGAGGTCTTCCATTTACAGAGCGGTTAATTTACTTTATTTTGCTTCTCAATTAACTTTGGTGATATTAATATCTCTGCTTATGCAGTTTTAATATCCGCCAGACACTTGAAGCTTCTTGAATCGTGTTTTTTTTCGGAATATTTTTGTTTATTAAAACAAATCAATTGAAATTATCTTTTTTGCGATAATGACCCAAATAATTGAGCAGATAAACGTGGCGGCTATAAAAACCTTATACTCCGTTAGCAGTTGCTCAGTTGTTCAACGTAGCTTTCAAGTGAAACAATTATCCGGAAACTTCTCGGTGACGAACTACTACCACCCAATCGCAATAATGTTGGCAAAATTTGTGATTGTTTTTATTTTGTTATCAGTTTTGAGTTTTACGTGTCTGGCTCAACCGCTGGAGAATCGTTCCGGGTGTCCTCAGATATGCCCCGATAATTATGATCCGATTTGTGCCACCGATGGAAATAGCTTTTTAGAATTTCCAAATTCTTGCGAAATGGATGCCCATAATTGTCAGCTATTGAGTGATTCGAAACAAGGTGAGTTTGGGGAGGAAACTAAGAAAATATTAAGAATTGATAATTTTTCCAATTTTAATTACAGCCTTTGAAACAACTCTGGATTTGGATATGTGTCGCTGAAGACTATACTGAAAAAAATCTATTTTTTTAGGAAATAAAATCGGAAATTAAAAACCCAAGAAGTGTCATATATAAATTACTTAAAAATATTGGAGGATAATTGTGTTCCAAGAAAGATCCAGGGAAGACATACGGAGGCTCAAGAGTTATATCTGGGGAAAATTCCAATATTTTCCCCCAAATGACAATTTTATACTTCAAGGATTGTCATCTACCAAAATTCTTAAGTACCAAATTTTAAACAATGTGGCTATGATTATCAAAAAACCGAATGTACCTAAATATATGTTCTGCCGCCAGAGCTAGAACCCATGATGAACTACAAATACCAATTTTTAGACAAATCCGTGGAAAAATGTGGCAAAAATCATTTAAACACTGAATATCCGAAGGTACCATTATGTGGGGGCTATATACAAAAACGTGAATCTATACATACAATGTTTCGGCACCAAAGCTACAACCCATTATGACCTACAAATACCATTTTTTAGAAAAATCCGTAAAAAATGTGGCAACAATCATAAAAAACCGAATATCGGAAAGTACGACGGCTATACCAAAACGTGGACCGATATATCTCATTTTCAATTCAAACCATTCAAGATTTAATACAAATTGTAATGCCAAATTTTGAAGCTCTACGTGAAATAATTGTATCGTGATTTCAATAGACAGACAGACGGACATCGTTAAATCAACGTGGAGTTTTATGCAGATTATTAATATACAGGGTGAGATAAAAAAACTGAAACAAAGTCAAATGCCATAATTTTGACATTTTTTTGAATGAAAGAAAAAAATGTCGGAAATAGCATCAAATTTTAGAATAAGTTTAGATTTGTTCGAATTGGTCACCTTTGGCACGAATTATGGCCTTCAAACGGCCTATGAAACCGTCACACGCTGCCGAATGTCGATCTGCGGTAATTTGGTCCATTCCTGGCCAAGCGCTTGCTTGAGGTGATCGACACGTTGATATTTTTTAGTGCCATCCTTGCTTTCCAAAATACTTCAGACAGAATAGTCCAACGGCTTGGTATCCGGAGATTTTGGTGGCCATTGTGAGCTGGAAATGAAGCGAGGAACCTCATTTTGTAACCATTCTTGGGCGACGGGTGCTAAGTGCGATGGTCCTGAGTCCTGTTGGAATGTCCAAGGTCTGCGGCCAAAATGTTTGCGTGCCCAAAGCTTTAATACACCCTCCAGAATATTTTCGCGATAATATTCGGCATTTATTCTGATGCCACAGTTGATTAATACGAGCGGAGAGCGACCATCGGCTGTTATGGCGGCCCACACCATCACCATGGTTGGCGCTTGAGTTCTGGTGGCCAACCGAAGGTGCACATTTTCATCTGACCTCATTTGTTTGTTTACAAACTGCTGGACAACGAATGTTTTCTCATCGGAGAATACCCAATTCGGTAGTTCACCACTTTCGGCCAAGCGAAGCAACTCTTTAGCTCTTTTGAGTCTATTTTCTTTCCGTCGCGATGTAAGTTCTTGCACTTTTTGGAATTTCAATGGCATTACCCCGAGCTCATTTTTCAATATTTGCCGAATGGAATATTGCGGTATGTTCAGCTCACGAGCCATTTTTCGGCCACTGCGACACGGGTTTCGATCAAGTCGCTTCTTTACTTTTCGAACCATTTCTGCTGATTTCTTCCCTCCATTTCCTTGACGTCGGACTACACTACCAGTACCACGGTATCATGGTACGAGACAAAACGATTTATTCACATTTAAATGCTGGAGGGCTCTAACCATAGCCACTTGTGGTTTTCCAGCCAAATATAAAGAAATCACATTATCACGCTTGAATTCCATCACGAATAACTAGTTTTCTGAAAAATTCTCACGAAAATGCTTTTGTACGCTTGTAAAAAATATAATGAGCTGTCACTGGAATAATTTAAACAGCTGTCGGACAAGTGGCATAGAAATGACAGCAGTCTGAAATTGGTGCAGCTTTTTTCATTTCACCCTGTATATACTTTATGGGTCTACGAGGTGGAGAGTATAAAAAGAATTTCGACTTCATCTAACTAACGAAAAAATCTTTGTAAAGACTTTTAGAGAGGCCTGTGTATGTAGCAAATCTTTAAAAGGTCCTCTACCAGGATACACTAAAAAGGGTTTCCATTCATGGATATTTTCAATGGTCCAACCATAAAGAACACTGAAAAAAATTTACGATTGTTGACAGAAACCCCATATAAGCAGATGATGTTTAAAATGTCGTCTACAGACACGAGATCTCTTTCCACAAAATTAGAAAATATTTTCTGTTTTTATATCCAAAACCAAAACGTGTCTCATCGCAATAACGGTTTTTTTGGACCAAATCTGTTTCAGGACATTTGAATTCGATCTAGGGATGACCGAAGGGAATCTCCGATTTTGGTCCAAACTTGGTGCATGGTAATATAATTTTCAAACGTAGATCGATTTAGGAACATATTGGCTCACTATATTATGTCCCAGATTAAGCATTTGGTGAAGATTTTAGGAACATATTGGCTGACTATATTATGTCCCAGATTAAGCATTTGGTTGTTTCGAGAGACGGCTAACGAAGCATAACTCTTTCAGGTCACGAATTTACAAATATTATCCCCACAGACACAGGTTATCAGGCTATCACATATGTGGCACTTTTAGTATTACCAGTAATGACAACCACATACCTTCTGCATTACCATTACATTACCGGAGTCATACCTTTTGCATTACAAGTTAAGTAAAAAAATAATGAGTTATTCCTTAGGTCCGACTATAAAACCCTAGTTTTCTGAACGTATTCATTGGATCTTGGTGATAGTTCGGTAAGTACTTACTATGATTACCATGTAAGGGATTAGAATTCTGTTTTGTGAGCAGCAACCGGGACCAAAATGTACTTAACCAACCCATTATTTGGTAATGGGATTTTGCACTTAGACAACTTAAATTTGCAATAAAGTCGGTCTTTTGAACCCACATTCAAGAATTCCTTTACATTCATATCCTACCAAGTCCGAAGTGCTTTAGGGTTCAGCTTATTCGACTCAAACCGTTTGCAATATTTCATAACAGTTGGTACAAAATATAACTACACTTAGAGAAAATAATCAATTCTCTTTCTTTTTATATGTCCTCTCTTTGTTATACCCTACACCACAAGGTGGTCAGGGTATTATGTCATTGTGCATTTGTTTGTAACAGGCAAAAGGAAACGAGATAGACCCATAGTTCCTTTTGATGATCTGCATAGAATCACATTCTGAGTCGATTTATGCATGTCCGTCCGTCCGTCTGTCCGTCCGTCCGTCTGTCCGTCTGTCCATGTATTTTTGTAAACAAAGTACAGGTCGCATTTATTGCCCGATCCAGATGAAATTTTGCAAAGGCCTTTTGTTTGGCCCAAGGACGAACCCTATTGAAATTGGAGATAATCGGTCAAAATTTAGATATAGCTCCCATATATATCTTCGTCCGATTTGACTTTTATTGTGCACCAAACGTGTAATATCAGCCCGAATTTTATGGAATTTTGCATATGCACCCAAATTAGGCCTGAAAATATGTATGCCAAATTTGATCGAAATCGGTTCAGATTTGGATATAGCTCCCATATATAACTTCGTCCGATTTACTTTTTATTGTGCACCAAACGTCTAATATGGAATTTGGCACTTACGACCGAATTGAGTCTAGAAGCTAGTATGTCAAATTTGGTGAAGATCGGTTCAGATATAGCTATAGCTTCCATATATATTATTCATCCGATTTGTTATATTTGTTACCCACAACCGTAATATGCACTCCGTAACAAAGATATTCAGGGAAAAATATCAAATACAGCTCAGAAATATCTTTGCCAAATTTTATCGAGATCGGTTCAGATTTGGATATAGCTCCCATATATATCTTTATCCGATTTCAAATTAATTGTGCACCAAATGGGCAATACAATTCCGAATTTCAAAGATACAAATGCTTCGGCATATTTAGTCCTTTGAACTTTAAATTATAATTATAATCATAGGGTGTATGATTGAATTCTCCCATAAAAACTTTTAATTGTTATGTGGAGCTCTACTTAATTAGCAAAGTGGTGTAGGGTATCATAAAAGTCGGCCCCGCCCGACTTTAAGACTTTCTTTACTGGTTTTTTCTTCAGTTTTTGATTGTTTACTGGCATGGAGATTCGAGCAAGTCGGATGTGCTCACTCTGTGCCGTCATTAGCCTTCGAGTCATCGAAAGGCTTTCCAAAGGTCGCCCTCGAAAAACATGAACTCCTAAAGATCTTCGATAAATAAATGGTTAAACCAACAAAAGACATAAAGGATCTCCCTTAATGCATCTTCAGGATAACATATACCATAAAGAATTTCTAGAAATAAAAAAGCTCAAACAAGAAGTTTGAAGATAGAATACCCTCAGACGACCTTCTTCTGATCAACGATTCTCATAGGTTTTTCTATGGTTTTATTTTAGATCGAAAAACTACTTAGAAGATCCATTGAATTCTTTAGTCTACAGAAGACCCTTGAGTAATCATATGACCATTTAAGACCTGCAGAACATTTGCTATCCCTAAAAGACCTTCCTGAGATGCTCAGAAGACCTTTTACTGATCGACGATTCTCATAAGCCATTCTATGGGTTTCTTTTGGATTGAAAAACTCCTTAGAGGACCTCATACATATAATTCATTAGTCTACAGAAGACCCTTGAGCAATCATATGACGATTAAAAACCTGCAGGAAATTTGTTGTCTCTCGAAGATCTTCCTGAGACGATCTGCATACAGAAAATCCCCAGAAGAGTTTTTAAAAAGTGCTTCCAAAAGAAAAAAAAAATCTTTCGAATGGTCTTCTGCCGACCGAATCCTTCTATAGACAGAATTTCTGTATTAGGTCTTTCACATAGCGAATATTTTCAGAAGGTCTTCCTTACGTAGAAGCTTTAGTGACCGAAAGTCTTCTCTTGACGGTTAGAAGATCTCTAAAATGAATTTTGATAACTTCTAGAAATATGTTGTGAAGAAACCTAAAAATATTTTACTAGGCGAAGATCATCCGATGGACTACTGTAGAAAGAAGACTCCAAACAGGTCTTCTAGAGGAAAATCCCCTTATAAAAGTATTTTATGGAAAATTTTCTTTGATGATCTCCTGTAGACAGAAAACCTACACAATTCTTCTGAAAACCGATTATTACCTCCGCGGCATTGTGTGGATCGAAAACTACCCGAAGGACATAAAATGACAAGAAGGTCTCAACAAGATTTTTTAACAGCAGCAGGGCCCCCAATGCGTGTAAAACTTCCGGGATGGCTCCCAATAGACAGAAGAACTCATGGAAATCTTTTTTTAGCCAGAAGGGTCAATAAGGTCCCTATAGACATAAAAAATCCTGGAATTCCTCAATGAACAGATTACCACCAAAAGGCGATGTCTGACGAAGACTTTTGGAGGGGTAATATATATTTAGAATACATTCTATGCGGTTTTTATAGAAAGCAGTTCTCTAAGCATTCCTCTATTGGCAGAAGCCAAAGGCCTTCAGGAATGGGCAGATGCACAGAAGGTTTTCTAGAAATAAAATACTCCTAAAGGATTTTTTCCATAGAGACGAAGACCGCCAGGAGATCCAACAGAGAAATTAAAACTTCAAAGGCCTATTAAAAACGGAAGGAGAGCTCCAGGAGACTTTAAAGCTCCAGAAGGACCTCTTTCGACAGGAGACCTTCATAGGGACTTTTATGAACAGAAGATCGCCAGATAATCTTTTGCAAACAGGAAAAAACAGGTGTTCTGATGGCAGAAGACATTAAGAAGATCCTCACGGTCTTCTAAATAATTCAGGAAACTCTCTGTTTTTAGTAGGATCTCAGCGGGTCCTCTAGAGACAGAGTACCTCTCGAAAATCACCAAAGTGTCTTTTCACGACATAAGACATCAAGAAAGTCTTCCTGAGACATAGGACCACCAAAAAATATATTTCAGAAACAGAATAGCTCCAAATCTTCTCCCCGAAGTGTCTTCTATTGAGATAGAAAAGCTTCAGAGGATCTTCTGTGGACTGAAGAAGACATTAGGATGGACAGAAAATTTAATGAAGTTCTTTTAAAGGTCAAAGAGGACATATTCTTTGGGCAAAGACCCCCAAGAAAGTTTTTGAGGTCAAAAGCCAAAACTCTTCCACCTTCGAAATTTTTTTTCCAAATGGTCTTATGGTGACAAAAAACTTAAAATAGAAGGCCTTCTAGAAGCCGGAGATCTTTTGGTTTTCTATGGATAGCCTATTTTCCGAAGATCTTCCTTAAAAAGAAGTTCTTCTGTAAATCTTAAAGGAAAGACAAATTATGAAAATAAGTTCTTCAAAAAGCCTTTCGTAGACGAAGGAAATGCAGAACGTCTCCCATTCACAAATATTTTGCTAAAAAAGAGCTGGAATAGATCTCTTTAGACAGAAAAACTTAACATGGTCTTCAATCGGCTAAATGCTACTTGGGGTACTCTAAGAACGAAAGATCGTCAGAACTGCGTTTTTGACAGACGACAGAAGATTCTACACAGACAGAATATCCCCAGAAGATGTTCGGCAAAATAGAAGGCCTCGAGAGGGTCTACTCACAATACAATCTCAGAATTACAGCGCAGGAACACAGAGATCTCCAGAGGGTTTCCAGTAACAAAAGGGTATCTATCGCCTCCCATTCACAAAATTTAGCTGGAAGGTATACTATCGCCAAAAGAACTAAAATAGATCTCTTTTAGACAGAGAAAATTCAAAGATCTTCATTTGGCTTAATACCACTTGGGGGTCCTCTAAGAACCAAAGATCTCCAGAAGTGCTTTTGGCACAGAAGATTCTACACAGACAGAATATTCCCACAAGGTCTTCGGCTTATAGAAGGTCTGGAGAGCATCTATACACAATACAAACTCAGAAATTCAGGCACAAGAACACAGAGATCTCCAGAGGATTGTCAGTAACAAAAGGGTATCCACGCAGATCGCCTCCCATTCACAAAGTTTTGCTGAGAGGTATACTATCGCTAAAAAGAGCTAAAATAGATCTTCAATCAGCTTAATACCACTTTGGGGTTCTCTAGAAACGAAAGATCTCCAGAAGTGCTTTTTGGACAGACGACACAAGATTCTATACAGACAGAATATCCCCACAAGGTCTTCGGCTTATAGAAGGTCTTTGAAGCATCTATTCACAATGCAATCTCAGAAATTCAGGCACAGGAACACAGAGATCTCCAGAGGGTTTCCAGTAGCAAAAGGGTATCCAGCTCTCCTTCTGTATAGATAACTTCTCGAGGAGACCTTCCATAGACTGGCGTCCTCCAGTTTTTTATATACAAAAACTTAAAGTTGGTTTCTTACATAGAAGTTACCAGAAAGTATCCTCCAGATAGATGCCCTGCAGGATATCTGTTACATAAAATATAAAAAAATATTCCAGAATTAGGACCTTGAAAGAAATTTGATGATCCAATTTTTATTCCGAAGTACCGAAAAAGCATTCAATAGTTAGAAATTAAAAAACCCGATAAAATTGCAACTGTACTCTCTCCCCGACCGCTTCCCACCTGATCATGTAATAATGACATCACTTTTCTCCGTGTACAGTTTGTCACATTGCAGTTTATGTGCCATTCTGTCATTCATTCATTATTTTCGGATTAATCAATGAGCCGAACGGTGTGAGACACAGAACTGTCCCCCCAGGGCAGACAATGATCACAACCTCTCGCATGCACATGTAATTTGCTCTCCCAAATACAGGTTACCGGCAGCAGCAGCAGCAAGTGTTGTGCAGAGAGCTCTTGTTTTGACCAAAACTGATTTAAGGGTGGTTCGAGTACCCAACCTGACGCATGGGCAAACAACCACTTGGTGTACGAATCTTGGTGCACTTGGCGGCCCAGAAATCACTTGCACGTTCACACACACATACTTACACAGGTTACTCTCTGCCACAGAGTAGATCGTGGTGGTGGTTTAATGGCTGGCTGGCTGTTGATTATGGTACATAAAGGATCGTTTAGCTTACGGGCAACATCATTTACAATTCAGCTACCGTACAGCAAACACTTGCCAATATTTTTTGTCGTGTTTTATTTTTTTTTGGATTTTCGTTTCATCCATCCATCCATTGTTCGTCGTTATTCGTGATCGCTCAAAAAAAAAAGCATGGCTGTTGATGGACAGAAATTTATGACCAAAACCCAACATTATCGCAAAGTGACAAAACCGTTGCTGGAAAGAAAACGTCGCGCCCGCATGAATCTCTATTTGGAGGAGCTCAAGGAATTAATTGTGGATACCATGGAGGAGCAGGGAGAACATGTGAATAAATTGGAAAAGGCCGATATCCTGGAGATGACAGTATCCTATTTGCGCAATCAACAAAAGGAGGCCAGGCAACCTTTGTTGTACTCCAGTAACCACAACAACGGTGGATCGAAGAAGACCCTCAATGTGGAAAAGTTTCGTGAAGGATACACCCAGGCGGCCTATGAGGTGTCTAAGATTTTCTCTACGGTGCCGGGTATTGATCGGGATTTTGGCACCCGGCTCATGAAACATTTGGGTTATCAACTCAAGGATTTGAAACAGCAACTATTTGCCAGCAACATGAACCAGTCGCTCTTGGCCGATATGGAACAGCAACAGCAGCAATTGCAGCAACATCAGGCAGCTCTCAAGGAAGAGGATGTTTGGCGTCCTTGGTGAAAACAACAAAGAGTCCCGAAACACAGAAGAATGAGCGAAAAAAGTAAATAATGGCGCCCAAACTGGCTCAGGAACAGAACAACGAATTTATCATCATCACCACCGCCGACCTTGTCTCATATCTCATAATTAAGAAGCTTTATTAGCATTTTAAGCCAAGTTAACACTTATTTGCCTTAAACACAAACAATCCTTGTGTTCTTTTAGTTTTTAGAATTGAAATGTTTTTAATTTTTTGTATTTTTTTGTGATAATCTGTGATAGCTTTTAAGACAAAAATTCTGATGGTACAACAGCAACAACTTAACGATCTCCAATTGATGGACAAGTTGATATAAACAATGTTTAAGCTTTAACTTAGTTTGTAGGCATAACGTGAAACATGATCTTCCAAAATAATTTTTAAATGAAAATAAATAAAATTAAAAAAATATTTAAAAAAATTAATTTAATTTCATGAAAAAGTAACTAATGAAAAATTGTATATCAAAATGTGGTGCATACTTTAAGGAGGGTACACATAAATGCAGTTGTGGGTAACATGAAACCTGTTAGAACATTCCCAAACCAAGTAAACACATATGTATCTGAATTATTTGAAATAATGAACATTACCAAATATGATGCATACTTTTAGGAGTGAAACCTATTTAAATGAAAATAAGTAACAACACTCTTTGGAGTTGTTAAATATTAAAAATTGATAAAAACCGTCAGGACGTTCGTCGCCTAACTAAAAATTTCAAAATATTTTTAATGGAAATAAAGAAAAAATATATAAATGTTATTGAAGTAATGAAAAATTAAAAGACAATAACTGGTGCATACTTTTAGGGGTATAACGTCCCAAAACCAAATCAAATCAGATGGATCTGTATTATTGGAAATAATAAAATATGGTGCATACTTTAAGGAGTAAAAAAAAATATTTAAACAAGTTAAAAAGCAGAAAGTTCGGCCGGGCCGAACTTTTAATACCCTCCACCATTTGCAACGAATTTGGAAATTTTCAAAAAATAAAATCCTTAAAAAATTCTTTTAAAATTTAAAAAACCCGAATATTGCCGTTGTATTGGGGTCTATACGACGTGGACCTACATAGGTATTGCTTGTCATAAGTCATTACCTTATTCAAATTCAAAACTTGAAATAAACGGTGAATAATGTGGCTAAAATCATCAAAATATAGGGAGGTACCGTTGTATCGGAGCTGTGCGAAGACCTGGACCAGTATAGATAATATTCTGTCATAGGCTGTAGCATCCTTTACGAACTTAAAGTACGACATCTCAAACAATTTCGATGGGTGTTGTACCTAAACTCGTCAAAATACCGAACATAGGGAGGTATATGGGGCCTATACGAAGACCAGGACCTCCATAGACAATTTTCCGTCACAGACTGTAGTTCTCATTTCGAACTCTAAATAAGTAATTTGAAACGATTCCGGTGAATAATGTAGCTAAAATCATAAAAATACCGAATATCGGGAGGTACCGTTATATGGGGGCTATATGAAAACGTGGACCTACATTGCCCATTTACGAAGTTAACTTGCCTAATATACCCTCCATAGTATGGTGGAGGGTATAACAAGTAAAATAGTATCAGTCAGTTTTGCCGACAGATGTATACCCCCAGCCTTGAGTTATGATTATTCCATCTCTTGACCCTTTATGGGGGAAGTTCCGAAGCAGTTGGCCAATATTGACCAATTCGTATTTGACCTAAGACTGACAAAAATATTACAACGTGCCATATTTGGACTATATTGACTACTTCCTATACTTTATATGAGATATGTGCAAATTTTTGGAAAATGTGGAAATATGCGTGGGGTACCAGATATAGCGGGCCGAAATATTCCACTTCATTTAATACGCATAAAAATATTGCTACGTGCAAAATTTAAGGGAAATCGAACATTTACAGGGTGAGATAAAAAAAACTGCAACAAAGTCAAACGCCATAATTTTTACATTTTTTTTAAATTTTATGGAATGAAAGCAACAAAATGTCGGAAATAGCACCAAATTTTAGAATAAGTTTAGATTTGTTCGAATTTGTTACCTTTGGCACGAATTATGGCCTTCAAACGGCCAATGGAACCGTCACACGCTGTCCGAATGTTGCTTTGCGGTATTTTGACCCATTCCCGGCTAAGCACTTGCTTGAGGTGATCGACACTTTGGTATTTTTAGTGTCAGCCTTGCTTTCCAAAATACTCCATACACAATAGTCCAACGGATTGGTATCTGGAGATTTTGGTGGCCTTTATGCGCTGGAAATGAAGCGAGGAAGTTCATTTTGTAACCATTCATGGGTGACGCGTGCTGAGTCCTGTTGGAATTTCCAAGGTCTGCGGCCAAAATATTTGCGTGTCCTAGACTTTAATACACCCTCCAGAATATTTGTTGGCGATAATATTCGGCATTTATTCTCATGCCACGGTCGATTAATACGAGCGTAGACTGACCATCCGCCGTTATGGCGGGCCACACCATCACCAAGGCTGGCGCTTGAGTTATGGTGGCCAACCGAAGGTGCACATTTTCAACTGACCTCTTTGGCAAGTAAACACGATAATTTTGTTTGCTGGACAACGAATGTTTTCTCATCAGGAGAAAACCAAAGTCGCCAGTTCACCACTTTCGGCCAAGCGAAGCAACTCTTTAGCTCTTTTGAGTCTATTTTTTCCTGTTGCAGTGTAAGTTCTTGCACTTTTTGGAATTTCAATGGCTTTACCCCCAGCTCATGTTTCAATATTTGCCGAATGGATTATTGCGATATGTTCAGCTCACGAGTCATTTTTCGGCCATTGCATATGATCAGCATTAAATTCCAGGTCGATTTAGAGATGCCCGTCCGCCTGTCCGTCTGTGGAAATTACTCTAGCTTCCGAACGAAAAAAAGGAGGTTTATAAAATTTTACTCAAATGTATATTATGTCTGCAGGACTTTGAAAATGGGACGATCTTTGGAATTTTGATGATTTTAGCGACATTATTCAGCGGGATTGTTTCAAATTTGGTATTTAAAGTTTGTAATGGATACTGCAGAAAATTGTCTGTGCAGGTCCACGTTTTAGTATAGCTCCCATATAATAGTACCCGCTCTATTCGGTATTTTGATGATTTTAGCTACTTTATTCACCTATTGACCTTCTACAAGCCTACTAGAAGATTTTTAGTAGATTGAATATTTTCTTCAAGTCTTCTATAGATAAAACCCTTACTATGGATCGATTTATGTCAAAGGTTCAACAAGTTTTCTATAGATTAAAAAAAAAGAGGATCGTCAATATGTCTTCTAGAAAAATTTCTTCAGTTCTTTTTTAATGAATGACGATCTACAACACTTCCGTTCATAGAAGATCTTTCACATTGGTTAGAAAGCTTTTTGCAGCCATGTTATGGATGGAAAACCAAATATAAGGCTTCATAAGATATAAGACTTTCTTTCTACAGATTTTCTTTAGATAGGAGATAAACTAAAGGTTTTAAATACAACTTCATCTTCAACAGGACGTATGTAGTTGTAAGACCTGCTGTAGGCAGAAAGGCGTTTATACATAGATTTAATTCTCCAGATCTTCTATAGAACGAAAACCTTTTGCAGACCTTTGAAATGTGTATTAACTAGATAACTAGACGACCTACCAAAGCCTTCCATATGTACAACATCTAAGAACACCGTCTTTGGCTAGAAAAAGAGTTCTTCTACAGCTATAAGGCCTTGTCTTCACTCTAGTTTAGTAAAAACTCTCGATTTTTTGGATTTTTCCGGAGGTAGGTATCTGATTCCGGGAAAGTACGTTTTTCTTGTGGGGCGAACACGAATGCCCAGATATTTGACCCGAAAAACCGGGCCCAAACTGATATGGATAACATATATATCATTTGAAAGCTAATAAAAAACACATATCCACCCGGATCCGTTCCCCCAAAAAAAGTAAAAACCCTTTGGAACGTTAATTTAGTTAGGTGGTAATCTAAAAACTATAACTATAACTGGAAAACTTTCAAAAGTCTTTTGTAACACGGTAGAGATTTTTAATAGGTCTTCTCTTGTTTGGAGACCTTTTAAATGTCTAAATAGAAGACCTTTCATAAACAAGCCATTGCAGAATTTTGTATGTCTTCTATCTATAATCGTCGAATATACTTTTAAAGGCCCTCTAGCTAGAGGGAACCCCATAAGGGTCTTCTGACTTTGGAGTACTTCAAAAATTAGATTTGGAACGCCTTCTAATTTTAAAGTCATTGGAAAGGTGTTTTAACTATAAAAGACCTACAAAGTGTCGAATGTAGGTATTCTCGTTTGTTTTAGAGGATTTTTTTTGTTAAAAATATTCCCTTTTTTTGTTTTTAAATTCAGTAAAAAAAACAGTCCTTTAGTACATTATTGCCACCCACCTGATCTCTCGAAAACATCTATAATAGTTTAATATAAAAAACAAAAGAATCTCCATTGTATTTAGCTATTCTTATTTCGCTTTTCTTTTATTTACTCCGAACTTCAAATCTCCGCAAATAGCCAAATTTAAAATCAATTTCAAATTACAATAGCCCCGATTCGATAGTCCTTCCAGCGACTAGTTGTGACACTTTCGAACAAGTGTATTGTCTGTTGCAAATGCAGCGCTGTAGCGTTGCAGAACAATAGTAAAATCAATGATGTGACATTGCACTTGGCACAATGGCCAGCCAGCGCGAGAGACAATAGGACATTGCAAACAAAAGAAACGCAGTGCCAACGACTTGGCAATATTGCCGGAGTGCTAAAAACAAAAGGGAAGGGAATGAAAGGACAATTTGATTTGTAGTTCTCGAAGTGCAGGACAATTTAAAGTCAGGTGTCCAAAGGAGGCAACACTTGACAATGCATCTGGCGAATCACTTTACTTGAACAGATTGTTTTTATATAGGTAACGGAATTATTTGAAAATGGTTAATTGGGGTACAGTTGAACAGGTTCGTAGTTTGGCAATTGTGTGATACAAATTG